AAAATTAATATATATATATATATATATATATATAAAATACGTAATATATATATAAATTCGAAATCTCGAATATAAATTTTTTTTTTTCAAATAATTTATTATTAAAAATCGAAATGACTAAAATAATTGATAATTAATTTTATTTAAACAAGTAAGATCTTAATGTAAATTCTAATTTTAAAAAGTCCACCATTATCAAAATATTTATTTATTAATTGTTTTTCCATGAATCCCGCATTAATTAAAATTTAATTAAAATTAAGTGCCAAGCAAAGAAAACGCATGAATATTTAATTTAAGTACCAAACGGAGAAAACGTGGATATTTAATAATTTTTTATATTAAATATCAAAAAAGAATGATGTACAAATACTTTAGTTAAACATTCTCTTGAAAAAATTAAATTAATATTAAAAAGAGTACAACCAAAAGAAAAAATAATAAATCTAGAATATATAAATCACACTGCAACTTTAAATATCTCTAATTAATACTTTGGTAAAACTTTGGTAAATGTTTACAAACTTTTTATATTATATATAACCATATGTTTAAATAAATAAAAATCCACTCCAAATTTTCAACTCCGGCGTTATAAAAACTTTTTGCGTTGCGTGAGAAGAGGGAGTTAATAATTTTGTGTGGGGTCACTCACCGCAGGCTGACGAATCTCGTTGACAATAAAGACGTAGAGGAACAGGCTCACGAGGTAATTTCTGGTGAATCCCATCATCTTCGCGGAGGGTGACAAATCAACCTGTTTGTCGCGACGCGGGCTTCCAAATGTGAATATCGCTCTTCAGAACGTGTTGCCTTTTATAGAGGGTGCAACTCCAGCCGGCGCAGGCGTTCTCACCCCCGAGCGTTCTCCTCGCCCCATAGCGCACCCACACATGCGATCTACGTACGCGATGGTCGCGGTTGTCCTTCCCCCCCCTCTCCCCTTTTTTCGTTTCTCTTTCCCCATGATGACGACGGTATACGGATCCCAGCGACGGGTGGTGAGACAAGCCGTTTCGCGGATTTTCATAAGACAGAAAAAGGAGAA